TAAGAGAGATGATTGAGGGGCCAGCTATATTTTAATTATGATTAGCTCAAAATTATAGATTTTGAGTTTTACATTAATTATAAAATATTAACTTGTTATTTAACAAATCTTTCCTAAATTTATTAGAGCATTTACTGTGATAAATATTTCACTATTTTGTTTTACTTTAAAAAAAAAATACTCAACGCCCAGTATGCATGGCTCAGTGGTTGAGTGTGGACCTATGAACCAGAAGGTCATGGATTCATTTCCAGTCAGAGCACATGCTTGGGTTGCAGGCTCAGTCCAGTGCGGGGTGTGCAGGAGAAAGCCAATCAATGATTCTCTCTCATCATTGATGTTTCTATTTCCCTTCCTTTCTCTCTGAAATCTATGAAAATATATTTAAAAAATAAAAAAATATTCTGCTTTTGGTCTGAGTATAAATTTAAAAAACGATGTTATAGAATTTTTATTTTAGATATAACAAAATATGTTTTAAAAAAGATGAAGATCATATGTGTATTAAAATTTCTCCAATAATTATTTTTCCCACTTTTTGAAAACTCTGTGTAGGTAGATGATTGATGATGGCTAGACGATAGATGACAGGTTTAATTTTGAAACATTAAAAGCAAATTATGTCAGTCTTCGCCAGTGTGGCTCAGTTGGTTGAGTATTATTCAGGCATTAAGAAGTTCCCAGTTTGACTTCAGGTCAGGGTACATGCCTGGGTATGGGGGCTACATGCCACATAAGGAGCATGCAGGAGTCAGGGATTGATGTTTCTCTTTCATCACTGTTTCTATCTCTCTCTCCTCCCTTTCTCTCTCTCTCTCTAAAATCAATAAATTATATATTTTAAAAAGCATATTGTGCCGAGACCAGTTTGGCTCAGTGGATTGAGCATCGGCCTGCGGACTGAAAGGTCCCAGGTTCGATTCCAGTCAGGGGCATGTACCTTGGTTGCGGGCACATCCCCAGTAGGGGATGTGTAAGAGGCAACTGATCGATGATTCTATCTCATCGATGTTTTTAACTCTCTATCCCTCTCCCTTCCTCTCTGTAAAAAATCAATAAAATATATTTTAAAAAATGATAATAAAAAGCATATTGTATCAAAGTTAAATACATATTTACTTTATCAAATACATCAACAATAACCAAGAAGATGACTTTTTATTAATATAAATAAAAGATAAATGTTGTTAACTGCAATTTCCCAGAAGACCTCCAAAATAACTGATGAGGAAAAGCTAAGTTTATTACCCAATGCAATCAGGGAGAACAGTAATCTGTCAGTTTAGAATGTGCAGAAGAAGCAGGTGGCAGGATTGGGGGGAGATAATGTATATTACTGGTTAAGACAGGTATTTCAATGAGAACCTGGATGTAATTGTTTAGGATTGGTGAACACAGAGAGGGAAGCATCTTAAAGTGAGTATTAAGTAAACAGTTTGATTATTAAGAAATTTTCTCAGTTTTAGAAACATATGTGCAGCTAAATTAACTTTCAGAAGAAAAAAATGCATTTATAGAAAGATTTACAGCCTTGTGGGCAAGAGTATTCAAGAACTAAAAGTAAAATCAGCTTTGGTTCTTGGTCCTGACAGTTGAGGTGAATGTATGGGAGGAGGATGCCACACACAGTGTTTTACTGGCTGTCTCCTGTGGAAGAGGTTTAATTAAAAGGTTGGTTTTATTTGAAAGATCTTAAACTAGGATATATGATACCATTGTTTTCTTTTTTATCAGACAAATATGGAAAATGGATGGGACAGAAATGACAGTAATGTAGGGAACAGACACAAAAAATGTATGGTTGGAGCCAGGGATGGAGAGGCCGGACAAGGATTACATCTTTTATGCCTTTCATTAAGGAAAAAAAGAAAAAACAAACAACAACAAAAAACTAACTGGGTTGAATATGTATTTAGGATAATTGACTCATTGACTCTTAACTTTCATTGAGATGAAAAGGAAGATCATTTATTTAATCAAGATACTGTATAGACATGCATAACACTGTGTGTTAAAAATATTTTAAGTACACCTACCTCATCTTCCTGTGTTAATGTACTTTGCTCCTTGATCTGGTTCACTCAAATTTCATTACCTAATATTAAACAAAATATGAGATGACAGTTTTGAAATATGGTTCCCTAAAGGGATTAAGTGCAGTAATGGGAGTTACAAAACTGTGAGACTTCACTGGTGATTATAAATCAAATAAGAAAGTAGGATAAATATGAGACCCAGTAGACCAGATTTTAAAGAACAGAAAAAAATAAGAAGAATTAATTATGGCAGATCTTAGATACTTTTAAAATAATTTAGGCAGAAATCTGAATTAAATATTTAGCTAGATAGTTACCCTTGAATTAAAAAAAAAAAAATTATCCCTCTGCTACAACATCGACAGTATTATTCCCAGGAGGGCAGAGTTAGAGGCATTTATACAATCTCAAATCTTGTAGATTTGTTCAAGTCTAAATAATTAGCTAGCAAACTTTACTTTAAAAAATGTTAAGGTAACATTTTTATCTTCTCAAACAAGCTTCATTCACTTCTAGTTTGGTTCTAAAGGAAATAAAAAAGAATTTTCCTTATTCTGCCTCCTATACACCCTCTCACCTGCCTGGGTTTTCACTTTCTATGAGAGACTCTGAGGCCACATGTTCCTCTATCTCTTCTGGAGAAGAGCACCTTTCACACTGAAATTGCTCTCTCAGCTCCTCTTTCTCCCTGAACCCACACACTTCATCTCTACTTAGAATTTTGCAGGGCACTCATCCTTTGGGAGGAAAATCGCCCATCATGTGACTTTGTGCTATATTTATCTCCATGTAGAAGGAGGGAATCCTTTTCCTCTTAATTTATTGTAAAATTATTATAATGATGATTTGTTAAGGCATGCACTTTGTCTCTTCTTGATAATCTATAATGTTAATGAATATCAAGAAAAATAACAAAAGTGATTTGTTGGACGTGGACTGTTGATTCAAGCATTAATTGAGTCAGCTGACAAAACCAAGTAACAGAGGTGACCATTGTTGCCTTTAGGCTGTGGTCATAATCTTGGGATAGAAAACAAAGGGAAGATAGAGAAGAATATAAATATGTATTATGTGTGTAAACCTGTTATTTGGTCAATATCATAAGAAAAGGAAAATAGGTGATATTAATGATAAAAGTAACCCAATTTATTTATAGCTAACAACAAAGGTTCAGAAGGTGATGCAATGCATCTTATTTTCCTGTTTTATTAATGTTTGCAAGGCCTTATTTTAAAGATCACAGAGAACTATCTTGTAGTCTGTGCAGTCTGATTCCAAAAATAACTTCCAAATATTTATGTCTATCTTCCTTCTTTTTTAAATCACCATTTATTGTCCCTTCTTCCCCAGGCCATAGGTCCAACATGCCACTGACCCTATGTGAATAAGGTCAAAAAGAACTACTGGCTCTTTGTGCCATCCTTGACTCTAACAGAAGAGTCCTATTGACCTCTCAGCTTCTAAATGAAACACAGACAAAATAGAAAAACAAGCCTCATTTTCTATAACATTGATTGCTTCACATCATGTGATTTGTTGGTGTTACAATTTATAATATTGAAATAACTGGAAAAACAAGTCAGAAAATCTTGCTTTGCCAATGTGTCAGACATTTCTATACAATGCTCATCACCCTGCATGCAGTACTTGCTTATCTTTATACAATGACACATTCAGGATCTGAGTGGTTGTAACTTACAAACCTTCATAACTTACAATCCACTATTCATTATGAATAGTGGACTAAATCCTCTTCAATACTGCCTTTCTTCCCAGGGTTTGGGATGTTTAATACAATAGAAAAGGTTACTGGGTAAATTAGAAAAATATTATTATTATTAAAAAGAAATACTCAAGACTGCTTTTGTCTATCTATCTATCTATCTATCTATCTATCTATCTATCTATCTATTTATTAGCTTGTGAGTATCCTTTCTGACAGGTTTTTTTTAGGTTGGTATTTTTAGTCTGAGGTACTCTTATGATAATTTAATTTCCTGATGAATATGGTTCCAAAATATATAAAATCAGCAGCAGTTCAGAAGCAATTTCATTATTTTAAATAAAGATGCCCTTCCTCTAAAGTTGACAAAGTAGATACAGTGGTACGCTAACAGTTTTAGAAATATTTGTTTGTTGTGTTTTATAATCCTGATGTTTACTAAATTTTATTAGTGCAGCCTTCAACTGGCCTCTAAAATAAAGGTAGTTGCATTGTACTGATATACTTGGTAAACCTGTAAATACAGAAATCTTTTGCAAAACTTTTAAAAGGGGGAAACACTGGTCAGAATTTAATACATAAATATAACAAATGTATTGAAAATCTTCCCATACATTATAAACATTTGAAGGTAATTAGTATAGCTTAAAATATCTTCATTTTAGAATGTTATGCACAAAAAGGGCCTTATCGTCAAAGATTTTGATCTGTGATCACTTGAACCAGATAAAATACCAGAGACAACATTTCAACCCAAAGGAAAAAGATTGGAGTAGGAATTGGACAGTGGTAAAACTGGATGCATGGAAAAGCCTGCGTGGGGTTGGTTCAGTATCAGTAGCCGTAGCATTGTGTGCTTATGATTAACTGGCAGCCCTTTCTGCAAGTTTAGCTAGATCATTAATCAGTAACAGCCTACATAGAAAACTGCAGGCACTTCTCATTGTTCCTTATTTCTCATCTCAGAAAGGGCTGCCGATTGCCCATATTTTAATTAATTTTTATTTGTTCAATCAGGATGGCGAGTGGCACTCTCACTAACCTTCTTCTCATTGCACAATAGGCCATATGCTAGGTGGGCTTCCATATCACTGAAGAGGATTAACATGAGCCAACTATAGAAACCTGCTCAGGTTTTAAAAGGCTTCCAATGTGTCTGTTGATGATGCACATTTTCTCCTCGAGTTATCATATTACCTAGTCAATGTGATCGCCTATCGTTAATATCTTTGTTGTTGCAGATACAGATGTGCTGTATAAAAGCGAGAATGGACATGTCATTAAACTGAATATAGAAACAAATGCCACCACATTATTATTGGAAAACACAACCTTTGTAAGTAACAAATACTTAATTACTGTATGCATTTCATTATTGTTTAGAATGTTCTCTAGGTATACATATTCTTCTTTTAAGGTCTATCACTTGCAAAGCATTTAGGGGGAAATTTAGGACTGGAATATCATTAGAATCAGTATATTGATTAATAAAAAATACCAATGTGACCCTCTGCTTCATTGTCTTCCCATTTATCCTTTTTAGTAAATAATATTTCCAAGAATAATGATTCCTTGTGATGAATATTTCTTTTATTATTTTTATGTAAGATCAGTCATACAAATGCCAATTTTTTTATGTCTAGTCCAATAAGTTATCATTAGCTTTTTCTGCCTCTACTTTTCCTTCTTTTTGAATTTGTTCTAATTCTATATTAGTTTTCCAACTCATGCAGAAGGCAGTCTTTCTAAAACTAGCCTTCTGTAAGAATCTATGTGTTTTATTTTTAAAATTTAGTATTCTACCAACATCATTTTCCTAATCCAGGACCATCGTTTAGTTTAACAGTGTTCAAATAAATGAATGTATGTATTTTACTCTTAGAGAGAAGTATAAATTTTGCCTTTCTCTTAAACTCAGTCATCTTAAGATTTATTTAACTATGATTACCTGTAGAGTAAGTGATAATGAATTAACTGTTGCAAATGTTCAAAATCTAGCCATCAAATACCATTTTTTCTTTTTTTTTATGTGTACATTTGAAATCAATCTTTAGTCTTCATATATATTGTAGGATGGCCAGATGGAAGAGATAAACTGGAGCATTCTGGTGTTTTTATATATTAAGAAAAAATAGGGTTTGCAAATCATGAAGTGACTATATGAATACATATCTTTTAGGTTAACTTAAACCAGCCATGATATTTATAGAGTGGCCAGATTATTATGATCTCTGAATGCACAATAATCTGGCCACTCAGGATATATAAATTAGAGGCCTGGTGCATGAATTCATGCATGGGTGGGGTCCGGCCAGCCTAGCCAGAGGGACAAGGGAGGGAACATGGGCGGTTGGCTGGCCTGCCTACTGCTTTTGAATTCCTGGTCGAGGGGAAATTTGCATATTATAATATAGGATATACACTGAGTGGCCAGATTATTATGTGTTCAGAGATCATAATAATATGCCCACTCATTGTACTTTATCAATTGAGTTATTACTGACATAGAATAATGACATTTTTATTTTTAAACTAATAAGGTAATTCATAGATATTAGAGGAATACCTATTTTTGGATACAATTCTTTATAGCACTTGTGGAATGCTGAGTATGTATAAAGCATTTGCTCACTTTTTAAGAATGATTTTCCTTATGGGAGATGATAAGAACCCTCATGAAAAACTTCAATAAACAGTATCAGCAGTATTCAGTATTTCATAATTGCATAGACCTCAGGGATACTAGAGAGGAGGATAAAGGAATAATTGAAAGTTGCTGAAATCGGTGGGAAAACTGCTCTCATTAGGAGATTGAATAGGAGGTAGAAAAAAGTAATTGGTAATGATAAGAGGGCATAGTAATTATTTGCTGATTAAAGTCAGTCTGCATTGATTTTCCATAAAATTTGTTTGGAGAAAAAAATTAAAAGTATTTTTAATTTTGTGGCCTTTATTATAAAATATCATCATTGGGGCTGCCAATGGCCAAGTACTTGTTAGTTATAGTCACTCAGTAGCTCACCAAATAGTATGTGACTGTTCTTTTTTTAATATATATTTTTTATTGATCTCAGAGAGGAATAGAGAGGGGGAGAGAGATAGAAACATAAATAATGATAGAGAATCATTGACCGACTGCCTCCTATAAGCCCAACACTGGGGATCAAACCTGCAACTTGGGCATATGCCCTGACCAAGAATAGAACTGTAGCCTCCTGGTTAGTAGGTTGATAATCAACCATTGAGCCATGCTAGCCAGGCGTGACTGTTCTTTAATGATCATTCCCCTTATACAGTCTAATGAGAACTTCCCTCTGGTCACACGTTATACTTTATTTTTCATCATTTACTCCTTTTTGTCTTAGCTTTTATGATACATCAGAAAAGAAACAAGAACAAAACTTTTGGTTATTTTATTGTCTCAGTCTTATTATTGGGACTTCGCACCATCCCTATCTCATAACATTGTACTTTACTTCATGTGCTGATTTATGCCATTTTATCTTTGTACATTTTAAGGTATTTTTTCTACTCTCCTCTATGTAGTTTATGACTCTTAATTACCACAAAATCATATTTAGCAAATAGTCTTATACACTGATCTTCTAAGATCCATAGATTCCCTAGAAACATTTATCTCACAACACAGATAATTAAACAATTTTAAGTCTTAGAGGTGTCAGAATTCAATGGAAGGGTAGGCAGATAAGTGTGGCATACTAGTGTCCTGGTACATGTATTTGTGCACATTGAAAGGAAATTAATTAGAAGAAATATTTTAATATGGCTATTCGCCCTTTCTTGGTAATAGAAGTGTCAACCAAATTCATGATCAGGATTCTATTGAGCCTCCTATCTACCTATTCCAGGACTTCTGTGAGGATCAAATGAAATGAGGCACGTGAAAATGCTTTACAAACATTTGTTTAAATTATAAAATGTTTGCATCTGAGCAAGTCAGGTTCCTGGGCTGAAGAAACCCCAAGGAGCATGGTCATTAGGGAGAGGAAGCTGGGCATTGCCATGTGCTATCATACCCGGTGCCCACAGCAAGTTTCCGGGCTGTGCTGGCCTGTGGGCCACATTTTGCGCCATGGGGTCTTGGCAGTGTTGGCTTCAATTTGGTGTGGTTTCACTCCAGGGTAGTGTGGGGCCTGTGTCTCACTTGGAGGAAGCCACATGTTGCTTTGTCAGTGCCAGTTCCCTGGTGCCATCCTATATAATAAAAGGCTAATAAATAAATTGTCCCTTGGACTGGAAGGTCAACCAGAAGTTCAACTGGAAATTCAAACTGGCCAACTGCCTGCAGCCCCTCCTCCTGGCCAGACCCACCCTTGATCGCCCCCACACACTCTGATTGAGGGTGGGGCCAGCCCACCAACTGCCTTCGGCCCTTCTCCCTGACCAGTCTGGCCAGATCGCCAATTGGCCCATTTGGGGTGTGCCTGTTGGACCCCACCCATGCAAAAATTCATGCATTGGACCTCTAGTTTATTTTTAAATCGCCAGTGCACGTCTTGGCAGCGCCTCCATTGGGTGTATACCCCCTGGTACATTATAGCTACTAGTCGAAGGGAAGTATGAACACTTAGCCTTTTATATAAATAGATAGTTGCAGCCAGTTAACTCAAAACTGCAAAGATACAAATTACTTTGTTTCCTAATGATTTGAGAGGAATTCATTTGATCATTTCCTCCCAATGCCAAGATAGCATTATTAAATACAGTTGTGTTTGTAAATCTTACATTAGCCTAATGTCTGGATTTAAGTTCTATCTAAGACCTATCTTTTGGGACAAAATGTCTTAGTACAGCTTAAGAATTTTATTCAGATTGCAGGTTATTCATTGAGCAATTATCAATATTTTAATTATAATCATAATTAATTGGATTTGATTACTCTAAAATACTTTTAATAGAAGTGTGCTAAGTCAACTGAAACAAAAATCATATTATTCACAAAAAAATGAATAACATTGGCCTTTTATTAAGGCACTAGAGGGCCCGGTGCACAAAATCCATGCATGGGGAGGAGGTGGGGTGTCCCTCAGCCCAGCCTGCACCGTCTCCAATCTGGGACCCCCTGAGGAATGTCTGACTGCCCATTTAGGCCCAATCCCACCACTGGGACATCCCTCTCACAATTCAGGACTGCTGGCTCCCAACTGCTCATCTGCCTGCCTTCCTGATTGCCCCTAACGGCTTCTACCTGCCAGCCTGATCTCCTCCAACTCCCATGCCAGCCTGATTGATGTCTAACTGCTCCCCTGACAGCCTGTTTGCCCCCAACTTCCCTCCTCTACTGGCCTGGTCACCACCCCTAACTGCCCTCCCTTGCAGGCTTGATCACCCCCAACTGTCCTCCCTTATAGGCCTGTTCCCCCCAACTAGCCTCCCCTGCTGGCCATCTGGTGGTGGCCATCTTGTGTTCACATGGAGGCAGGATCTTTGACCACATGGGGGCAGCTATCTTGATCTTGTGTGTTGGAGTGATGATCAATCTGCATATTATTATTTTATTACATAGGATATTTTGCTAAAATGTGATTGCCAATTTATTTTAAAAATTTAAGATATCACCACATTGTCAGTTCCCTGCTTAAACTTATTTTAAATATGAATAGTAGGTACTTTTAACTATGTAGTCATGGTTACCAGACTATAACAATAATGGCCATGATTGGCAAAAATGAAACAAAAGTAAATCATATTCCTAAAATAATTGTCTTAAGGCATTCTTTGAGATTAACCACAGGTGGGATTTCTAATAAAGGAAGAAATTAAAGGGTAAATAACTTTTTGAAGGGGAACTATATTTAAAAAGTGACACAGCCTCCAAATTGCTCTTAATCTTTTCTAAGTGTTTGGAAATGTTATCTCTTACTGCCAGAACTATTTCAAACAAAAGATCACTCATAATGACATAATGAGGAACATGTTTCACAAGTATTAGGTGGCTTCTTTCTGCTGTCAATAAATTGAATATCACTTGTTGTCTTGACAGAATAGGCCAGGAGCCATAAATACTTCTATCAAATTACTTTTTGATATTAAAATGGAATTGGAAACATGTGTCCAAACCATGTGCTTAAACATTGCAATGGTTACAAAAAATACATTCATTCACTAATAAGAGATAACTAATTGAGAATTTTAAATCTCTTTGATTATGAAAATCAATAATATTTTAAAATATGCTATATAAATAATCTAAAACAGAGGGGGGAAATTTATATATGGTAACCAAGGAATTCCAAGGAAAATTTTAGTCACAAACTTTTTTGTCCAACTATCTATAATTTGTTACATAATAATAGGCATGACTAGAACCAGGGA